CGTTAAACAACAAACAAACAAACAAAACGTCTTCGTGTGTGAGTGAATGTAATTTTACGCCGCTTTCAGCAGTATTCCAGCCCTATTGAGGTGACATGGACACACTCGCGTCAAAACGGGCAAACATGTCGTTGGGGGCTCGAGGGACGCCCCACGCCATTGAGGGACGAAGACACGCAGCGTCTGACCCCCCGATCCATTTTAGCCGTCGTTTACAAGCAGAGACTAATGGTGATCCTCACATACCGGAATTTAGATGGAGGTTCAACAACCGTTGATGTGCCAATGTTATATAATTACTCAATTAATAATCATTAGGAGATCGTATCATTTTAAAAGTGAAAATACAATTTTTTTTTAAAAGCATGTAACATTTGGTACGTGTAATGATTTAATTGTAAACCAGAACGTGTTTTTAAAACCACATTGATATTTCTTTCGCATATTTTAATCACGCTTATTATTACAAGAACTAAACAGCTATTATTTATGTCGTTTTGAATAACCTATTCGGTATTTAATAAATGAGAGCATTAAAAAGGTCATTAATATGATAATTTTTATTTTTTCTTAAATATTATAGGACTCCATAACAATTAAATTATCATTTTAAAACTGATATATACTTTAGACTGCCGCACACATCCCTTGTCATGATAGGAAATATATTCCTCATAAGGATTTGTACCTCATGCGTGACTTATTGACTGTACCTGACGTCCCCTTATATCAAAGGGGGGTCGCCATGCCTCAGTAAAGACGCCATGTTTGAAGCAGGTTGGGGATTAATTTGGTCACAGGTGAGTGGTTTCAGGAACAATACTGATATACTACCGGCCGACAACTCCTTGACCTTAGATGGCTGGGTAGACTGGGCACCTATCTCACAGCTGGACTGGTTTTGGTTCATTGCGCCAAAAGTGTCCAATTATGATTGTTATTGGTTAAAGCCTTGTGGTCAGTATTGACCATGACGCATTTACTTAGGCGTGTACTTTAAAACACGTTTGAGGAAAAAAAGAAGAGCGAGATATAGTCATACGTACATTTTACCTGGACTAGAACGCAAGGCACATGCAATGACACGCGAGTTTCAATCGTTCAGGTGAGTAAAGCATGTCCTAAGTGTCTAAGCTTGACCAGTGCCTTAGGTATACTCGTGGTATTCTATACAGGGTTTTTTATAAGCTAGAGTCCGTTTATAGTTTTTTCTCTTCATGCTACTCAATGTTTTTATGAGGGTATTCCATGAAACCCCAGTGAATACTTCTAACATACTCATGAAATATCCCAATGAACAGTGAGTAGTATATCCCTTTCTATACATTAGGTATGACCTCAACGTTATATATCTATTTTAAAGTTTATATATATAAAGTTAGAGTTTAGTACTAGTTGAAATATCCTTTTGAACAGTGTCTCTTGGCGAATAGGTTTTTTTATCTGTAAATGGTTGTGTGTTTTACATTTACGATGCTTGATGAGGGGGCACCAGATATGGGCTTCACACATTGTACCCACGCAAAAATCGAACCCGTCTTCGGCGTGGGGACATTGTGTGTGTAATATATATAATAATATCTCTTGTTAGTGTTAGTGTTAGTCCAGATAAACGGATAACTTTCTACCAGTACGACAGTTGCCCTTGTAAGTACCTACACCGGCCTGCATTTGAACCCTCTGCCACTTAGCAGGAGGTGACAGACAGACATATACAGTGTGTTTCTCCAAGCACAAACAATATATATTTAAATAGTACTGCAAAAGAAAGTATACACTTGAAAATTGCATTTGACCAAAAATTACAAACGTTATCAAAATGTTACCAGGCTGAAAACAGTTGTGGAATCCTTGCAACCGTGAGGTCCAAAATACAACTGTGATACCCATATCAAATACATCACCATCGAATAACCATTTCTTGCGGGGGCACGGGTGGCCCAGTCGTCTAGGGCGCCGCGATTCGCTGTGCACAGTTGCGTCCCTTGGGCACGCCAGAAACCTATGATTGTGGGTTCAAATCCCGGTTCGCCCCGATTATGTTTCTAGGTTTGTCAGCACCATACCCGTGCTCGTGGGTTTCACCGAAGTGGTAAACGTCTGAGACCTACATCACTTAGGGCTTTCCTCCCACATTAAGCTGACACGCCGCGATATAACTGGAATATTGTTAAAAGCGGCGTTAAACCCAACTCACTCCCTCACTCACACCATTTCTTGTTTGTTTCATTTTAAGCCACCATCAAACATGGATGTATAGTTTCAAGTGTCCGGCAGTTTATATCATATATTCTTAGTATAGTTTCATTCATTACATGCAAATTCACATTTAAACAGAATTATGTAAATTTCAAATAATATTTATACACATTTATATAATTAAGATGATACCGTTTATAGGCTAGTAAACGTTTCATGATACAGTACGCAATGTGTTGTTATTCATATATCTTAGCATGGCCACAAGATGACTGTGAGATATATTAGTTCAATTATTTTCCAACTGATTATATTCTAATGCAGCGGGCACGGATGGCCACGTGGTCTTTGGTGTCAGCTCCGGGGGCTGTCTCGTCCTGGGTTTGAATCCAAGGTTCTCCCCATTACGTCCTTGGGACTGTAGGCACAACAATAGATAGTTTTGTTGCATTTTATCAAAATAATCAGACGTTTTATAACACTTCAAGGTATAACCGTGATCTTATACACAAACGCTAACGTCAGATATAGTTTGATTTCTAGTTTATTATATGCTCTCCAAGAAAGATTCCATATTGCACTGCTGCATTGTACTGTCACAATATAGTCTTCATTACTGATGCCATGCTCCCCAACAAGTTGTATTGATTTTGAGAGAGTTGGCGTCGAGTATCTTGGACATTTGCATTATTTCTTTGCTTGGAAAACTGAAAACCAGTGAAATTTGTTTCTTGGGCAAGTTTGTGACACATGTCGTTTTACAAATCATTCAGTTTTGGATCTTGAAAATCGTCATGTCAAGACTCAATAAGAACGCGAGAGAGGACGCTGCCCAGAGCACAATTTCCCGACTCGCTGAATGAGATAGTGATTTAACGCCGCTTTCAACACTATTTCAATTACATCACGGAGAAAAGTTTCCTATATAACGACAAAGTGTCTACTGCCCATATAACACTTCAGTGTCTAACTCCCATATACAATCACAGTGTCTAACTCCCATATAAAATCACAGTTTCTAACTCCCATAAAGACACAATCACAGGACCCGTGAAGATCCGGGTAGGAATATGACTTCAGCAACCCATGCTTGCCGTAAAAGGCGATTATGCTTGTCGTAAGAGGCGACTAACAGGATTGGGTGGTCAGGCTCGCTGATTTGGTTGCATGTCATCGTATCCCAATTGAGTAGATCGATGCTCATGATATCAATCACTGGATTGTCTGGTCCGGATTCAATTATTATTGCTATTGTATTCCTGAGTGCGGCGTTAAACTACAAACAAACACAGTCACATATTTGACTTAACACAGTAGAGACAAGGGATGGTATTTCAAAGGAAAGAAATAACTTTAATACAAACTTTAAAAGTGCTAAAATAATTCCATTGGTACCAAACATAGAAAACGCATAAAAACCAACAAACTGTAAAGTAACATACTATAAAATATGATGTTTTGTTGAGAGACATTCAGAAAACGGTACATTTCGATTGGACTATTTTCTCCAATGAATATTTCTCCTGATATTTGATACAAGCCCGGCAAGATTACGGTTACTGTCCCAGCAGCCGTCGCCTGTTATCAGATGTCAAATCCAGATTACACAGCCCTTTGTGTTAGATATGTTTCCTCAATAAATAAGAAATGTACAAGTTACAAAACGCAGTCAAGCGGAACCTGCGTGTACAAAAAATCTTGTATTTTAATAATTGAACTGACGTACGTTGTATATGTTCTCCCAGGGCTGTCGCGTACTAGACGAGTATTCTTCCATGATGGTGATTTACGAGTTTAAAAACAACACATTTAAAAAAAACTAAACCTAAAACTAAAACATGCAACAGTAAAACAGTAAAACAACACTAGCCTGACTTGTAAACTTCTGATATTCTTATTTTAGTATCAATAAAACCGTTGTAATTGCATTATTTTCAAAACCGAAAATTGTTTTATCATTTACACTAAATGGAATCTGTTTCGGCAGATAATCGAGACTGGTGATACTCTGGCGTTGCCGTTTTATATTAAAGTTTGGTTATCAGTATATAACGGATATAAATGTTAATAATTCCTGGACAGAATAGACCCCAAGTACCGATGTTATATCATACAATAAAAGCTATTCCAGTGTGTAACCATGTGTCTATATCATACGCCTATTAATCTATATTTGGAAAATCCCTTTGAAGATATATAATATTACAATAAACTCTTATCAATTACGTACACTTTGTCTGTGAGTTTATTCCAGATTGTATCTCTGCATTCGAACTAGAACAAAAATACTGATATTTCTCTCGTGTTTGAATTATGAAATCTTACCAAACAATTCCATATCTTCCCCGTTTCTACTAAGCTAATCTCTATCGTAAAAAAATACCACCGTAATCGCAGAAAAAATCCTATCTTAAACTAACCATCGATTTTTCCTTTATCTATTATTCTGTGAATTTACTTCTATCAACTTTCTTCTACCACAAGATAAGCATAAAGGACTGATATGACGCTATCAAAATTAAATTATCACCTCTGTTCTTCGAAACGCTATCTAGTCATGAAAGGATTGAATAATTCTTCTTAAAGGTGATACCCGTACGTCAACACATAATCCTACACCCATACCGCGCTGCTGTGGGGCGGCTCCAGTGTCGATATCATCACCAGATATGCCTCAACGGCAGCTACTGTCCTGTGGCTCTCAGCTCCTCCCCTTGAAAAATGTAACCAATATCAAAGAGGCATTGCGCATGCGCGTGGCGAGGAACGGGCGCGATATAAACATGGGAAGTTAATTTTTGATTCGATGTCGCTTAAAGCAGTGCCATTTGTGATCAGTGGCGCTACTGAGTATTTCATCGCACAGCATGGAAACTTGGCGACCGACCCTCGTACCCCGACCCCCTCCATTCGTAGGCTTCCAGGGGTAAGTGAATTTACATCTTTAATTTAAAATATGTATTATTGATTTTTTTAAACAATCGTGTAAAAACAGATTTATTAGCCATAATCATGATTGAGCTTTGTTATTATAATTTTCAAATTTTCACGCGCGTTTTTTTTATAATTTAAATTGAGGAGGGATAAAATCTAGACGTTTAGCTTATGTTGAGATGGTGAAGCGGTAGCGCTAACACCGACGGCACGTGCATGGCACGCGACAATCCGCGCGCAGCATGACTGAGAAGAGGCGTGGAGGGGGCTGTGTGCTGTGCGATTGTCACAACCAACAGCTATCAAAACGTCACATACTCATTTCCAAAACATTTTTTTACCCTGTAATATCCTGAATAATTACGAATCAAGGAGAATATTTGATGTGTATTCTCTTGATAAACACCCTATTCAATAACCGTATTTAACAGGTATATATGCTGCTGGATCATGTGCTGCCCTGATAACTACAGAAATACCGCATTGTGTTCTGGAGATTATGTCCTATTTTTTATATTTTTAATAATAGTAATAATAATAACCCTTTTGACAGTAATGTGATTGACATGATTGAGGAAAAAACATGGCAAATCGCTTCTGAAATGTCACGCTTGCATCCCAAGTACCAAGTTGTCCGACTCCCCATTGTTCTTGGTGCCTTAGGTTTGGTACCTCCCACTCTGTTGACTGACATTGGGAGACTACCCGGGTTTGCTACCAGGAATACAGCCCTTATGACAATCTGGGTAATGCAGACGGCTGCAGTGTTGGGGAGTCTTTACATTCTTCGAAAAGTTCTGGGTGGGTTTGACAAGGCAGCGCTTCCTGGGAGAAGTCCAATTCACTGCCTGGGCTGCGTGTAGAGGGGGCGAGGACCCTGAGCTGATGATGAGCCTAACCAGCCTGACTGTGCCAGGATCACCCAAACCCTCTTTGCTGCATATGTTTTTTTTATCTGTAAATAATAATAATGATAATAATAATAGGACCATTTATATTGCGCTTAATCCATGGTTTTGAAACATCCATTGTCAATTAGCGATGTATGTGTGAACATGTTTTTGTGTCGACATTATTTAAAACGGTTGTCATCGTGTGTATATCAAAGAAATTAACATCTACAACAGTTAAATGTTCATAGTAGTTTTTGTAGTAGTAGTAGCAGCAGCAGTAGTACTAATAACAGTAGTAGTAGTAGTAGTTCTGGTGGTGGTGGTGGTAGTAGTAGTAGTAGTAGTAGTAGTAGTAGTAGTGGTTATTCCATCTCTAACAACCGCACACATACTTCATACTTGTGAATGTACGGCAACTGTGCAGCTGTTGAAGCATAAGTTGTGGTTGTAGTTCTATATTTGTTCAATCTGCAGCAGAAGGTACTTTAACTTTTAACTTACACATATCCCCACGATTCTTCGTGAATTACGTTCAAACTATTAAAAGGAGACATCTTGGTGTGAAGTTATACATGATAAACGCTCAGCGTTTGTGTTAGTTCAACATCCTGCTTCCATCAACGCCGGCCGAGAAATGTCCTCTCTGGGAATACGTGGTACTCTTTAACAGAAGATAAATTCATGTATTGTTCCATGAGGCGTTATTGGTTCTTTAGCATGATCAATATGCTTCAAGATATAACCGGCCCACAAGTTGCGACTTTGTGATATTATTACGTATATATGATATGTTTTGTGAGGGTTAGGACGTGAACAAACTTTGCTAATCATCACAAATATTGTTGCTGGAATTCTGCTGATTTAAAATCAACACAGCAAAAATGAGAAATATAATGTTATATTTGTTACAACCTTAATTTTTTAGGTGAAATAATCGAATTCACTGATTATTCCTATTCCTATTACAATTAAATCAAGATTAATATGTTTTATTAGATACAAAATCGTTTATGATTTGATAAAATGATATATCATAACATTGAAGTAAATACGTTCCACGTCATTATATTGAGAAGTATACGGTACATTATTTTTTTTCAAATAAAAAGATTTATATAACAAGATTCGAAATGAAATACAATAAAATAATAATTATATCTAAATAACAATACTGTCAGAAGACAAAATATGTATGTATGAAACGTTTTATGTGATTAGAATGGAATTGAAATACAAAAATATAATAAATATATTCTATATAATAATAGCGAAAGAATACAAGATATTTATGTTGCAATAAAAAGGTCCAAATGAAATAAACCGAGAATACATGGCACTGTACAAACATTGAAGAATACATATCCAAATGCTATTAATGATGGAATAGTGGAGAGGTTTATCTTGTTAAAGAGTGGGGAGAAGTGTTTAATACCTTGCCCCAGCTGCTGCGGGTGTTTGTAATGCCTTCATGCATAATACATCCTTGTATCCCCACGTTACACGCGAGTACCTGGTCCTCGTATCCCAGTGTTACACGCGAGTACTCTACAGCACATGCAGTAGGGGCTTTGTGCTTCTCTAAATTGCCATCATATCAAGTTTCATGTTAGGCCCACTATTGTCAAACAAGAATTGTATTACATTACCTAAGTGCATTTGATCGTGGTTAAAAGTCGTACATTGACATATCGGAAAACAAGTATTCAGATAATCTTAAATTCTCAAAGCAAACAATGGGGGTATTACATGTATAGAGGAGATAGAGACACGAGATGTTTGTGCCGGTATGTCACTGAGATAGAGACACGAGATGTTTGTGCTGGTATGTCACTGAGATGGAGACACGAGATGTTTGTGCTGGGTATGTCACTGAGATGGAGACACGAGATGTTTGTGCAGGGCATGTCACTCAGATGGAGACACGAGATGTTTGTGCTGGGCATGTCACTGAGATGGAGACACGAGATGTTTGTGCTGGGCATGTCACTGAGATGGAGACACGAGATGTTTGTGCTGGGCATGTCACTCAGATGGAGACACGAGATGTTTGTGCTGGGCATGTCACTGAGATAGAGACACGAGATGTTTGTGCTGGGTATGTCACTCAGATGGAGACACGAGATGTTTGTGCTGGGTATGTCACTGAGATAGAGACATGCGATTGTGTGCTGGGTATGTCACTGAGATAGAGACACGAGACGTTTGTGCTGGGTATGTCACTGAGATAGAGACACGAGACGTTTGTGCTGGGTATGTCACTGAGATAGAGACACGAGATGTTTGTGCTGGGTATGTCACTGAGATAGAGACATGCGATTGTGTGCTGGGTATGTCACTGAGATAGAGACACGAGATGTTTGTGCTGGGTATGTCACTGAGATAGAGACATGCGATTGTGTGCTGGGTATGTCACTGAGATAGAGACACGAGATGTTTGTGCTGGGTATGTCACTGAGATAGAGACACGAGATGTTTGTGCTGGGTATGTCACTGAGATAGAGACACGACATGTTTGTGCTGGGCAAGTCACTCAGATGGAGACACGAGATGTTTGTGCTTGGTATGTCACTGAGATAGAGACACGAGATTATGTGCTTGGTATGTCACTGAGATAGAGGAGATAGAGACATGAGATGTTTGTTCTGGGTATGTCACTGAGATAGAGACACGAGACGTTTGTGCTGGGTATGTCACTGAGATAGAGACACGAGATTGTGTGCTTGGTATGTCACTGAGATAGAGGAGATAGAGACACGAGATTGTGTCCTGGGTATGTCACTGAGATAGAGACACGAGATGTTTGTGCTGGGTATGTAACTGAGATAGAGTCACAAGATATTTGTTCAGGGTATGTCACTGAGATAGATACACGAGACGTTTGTGCTGGGTATGTCCCTGAGATAGAGACACGAGATGTTTGTGCTGGGTATGTCACTGAGATAGGGGAGATAGAGACACGAGATATTTTTACTGGGTATGTCACTGAGATAGAGGATATAGAGACACGAGATGTTTGTGCTGGGTATGTCACTGAGATAGTGAAACGAGATATTTGTGCAGGGTATGTCACTGAGATAGAGACACGAGATGTTTATGCTGGGTATGTCACTGAGATAGAGACATGCGATTGTGTGCTGGGTATGTCACTGAGATAGAGACACGAGACGTTTGTGCTGGGTATGTCACTGAGATAGATACACGAGATGTTTGTGCTGGGTATGTCACTGAGATGGAGACACGAGATGTTTGTGCTGGGTATGTCACTGAGATAGAGACATGCGATTGTGTGCTGGGTATGTCACTGAGATAGAGACACGAGACGTTTGTGCTGGGTATGTCACTGAGATAGAGACACGAGATGTTTGTGCTGGGTATGTCACTGAGATAGAGACATGCGATTGTGTGCTGGGTATGTCACTGAGATAGAGACACGAGATTGTGTGCTGGGTTTGTCACTGAGATAGAGGAGATAGAGACACGAGATGTTTGTGCTAGGTAAGTCACTGAGATAGAGGAGATATTTCGTCTCAATAGGTATGCATCCTGTGATGAATGTGTAGGAGAGATTGATTTCCTGATATATCGTGAACATACATACATTTATATCTGATAATTTCTGTAAACAGTAACATCTATATATATACATAAAATGTGCATCGTAGCGTAAATTGTTTAGATGATTTCAAAGTGTTTTGACCTTAGAGGTATTTTAACTCTCTCATGCAAACCCGAGAGCATATATATTTCTTAATAAGAAACGTCACCACTATTCCTTCTTGTCAGCTCTAGCGTCCCATTCTAACCCCCTTGTCTTCTCTAGAGTCCCATTCCAACCCCCTTGTCTTCTCTAGCGTCCCATTCCAACCCCCTTGTCTTCTCTGACATCCCATTCTAACCCCCTTGTCTTCTCTAGCGTCCAATTCTAACCCCCTTGTCTTCTCTAGCGTCCCATTCTAACCCCCTTGTCTTCTCTGACATCCCATTCTAACCCCCTTGTCTTCTCTAGCGTCCCATTCTAACCCCCTTGTCTTCTCTAGCGTCCTATTCTAACCCCCTTGTCTTCTCTAGCGTCCCATTCTAACCCCCTTGTCTTCTCTAG